CCTCCATTTGTCCATTGCCCGTGCCACCCAGCAGAGGAACTGGCCAGAACCTCAGAAAACGCAAAGATCCTGTCAAATCCCAAACCCTGATTCTCAAGGTGGGTTTGTCACCCCTTAAAATTTGGGGGGGAACTGCTTTCAAGAAGTGGTCACTACTGGGGTCTGGGTGCAGTGTCCTCTCCCGTGGGCAGAGGTGGAGGCCTGGCCACTTGGGGGAGCCCCAGCTTGGTCTGGAAGCTCGTGCCTCCTGTCACTCCTGGGTCTGGGAGGGAGCGGCAGAAGGGGACTCAGCCTGGGTCCTGCCCCGGCCCTGGGCCTGCTTCTTCCTGCTCCACTTGGAAGACAGACTTTCTGCTTGTGCTGTCTCTTTTAAAAAAAGAAAAAGGGTGTGTATGGACCCCAGGGGGAGGTGAGGAAGGACCTCAGGGGGAGGTGAGGACGGACCCCAGGGGGAGGTGAGGATGGACCCCAGGAGGAGGTGAGGATGGACCCCAGGGGGAGGTGAGGATGGACCCCAGGAGGAGGTGAGGATGGACCCCAGGAGGAGGTGAGGATGGACCCCAGGAGGAGGTGAGGATGGACCCCAGGAGGAGGTGAGGATGGACCTCAGGAGGAGGTGAGGATGGACCCCAGGAGGAGGTGAGGATGGACCCCAGGAGGAGGTGAGGATGGACCTCAGGGGGAGGTGAGGATGGACCCCAGGAGGAGGTGAGGATGGACCCCAGGAGGAGGTGAGGATGGACCCCAGGGGGAGGTGAGGATGGACCTCAGGGGGAGGTGAGGACGGACCTCAGGGGGAGGTGAGGATGGACCTCAGGGGGAGGTGAGGACGGACCTCAGGGGGAGGTGAGGATGGACCTCAGGGGGAGGTGAGGAAGGACCTCAGGGGGAGGTGAGCGGAAGCCCAGCAGCCCCCAAGGTCCAGGAGGGCAGGAGAGGCTTCCTGGCATCTCCTGGGCACCCCTCATTTATTTCTAGAACCCCAGGGCCAGCCCGAGAAAAAGGAGGAGGAGGAAGAAATGGAGAAGACAGGGAGGGGAAGAGGAAAAGGGGGAAGGAGGAGAGGGAGAAGGAGGCTCAGGAGAAGAAAAAGGGAAGAAATGGAGGAGGGACCCACAGAGAGGAGGACAGGCGAGGAGAGGGCAGGAGGAACTGCAGGGAGAAGGGGAGGAGGCGGCAGGCCCCCTGAGTGGCCGGGAGGAGGTGGCTAGCGCCCTGTCCTTCTGCACCTTGAGACCCAGGCCGG